CCTTTTATCCTACACTTCACAATATAAAAACAAGGTATCTGTGTTATTTGTGGTGGCAAAAATCTCCTGTAATTGTACCTGCAGAGGTTGCTCCTGTCAAGGAGCCTAGGGCCCTGTTTGGCAGCTCACCCAAGAGGATGAGCTCCAGAGGCAAAAAGCGAGTGAACCTCAGTTGCAGTCCTGGCTCCTGTGAGGATGCTGTGTCTCCCCCACCCCCAGTCATCTTCTGTGTCCATCTCCCTGTTGAGTAGCAGAATCACATGCTTGACCCTTTTCTGTTCTTTAGCCTCTCATCCTGATCCTGTTAGCTCATTGTTCTGGGATGACACCAGAGGGGCCTGTCCGCTGTCATTCTCCATTCTTATATATCTCTCATCCTTATTGTGTTCCCGTTCATACAACCCTGTCTCATCTGTAAGAATGAGCATAGTTCTGGCCACTCCCTTTTGGAAAATGGATAAATAACTGTTTTGACTCACTAGTAGCAGAGACCAGTAAGCAATGTTTTCATTGTTAAGCTTTGGGTTTATATAGTTAGTCCTTCTGAGTCTTAGCCTGGGGTTCCATGGTTGAGAAAGTTTAGTCTTGGAATGTTGTCTTTTAGGTAAATTGTAATCTGAAAAATTAGAATATAAGGTAACTGCACATCCAGCAACTCAGCTCACCTTCCTGTATTTCAGCTTTTCCATTCATTTATTTTGCAGCAGTGTGTTTAGAATACATATCCTCATCTTTACTGTGGTGGGTAATTAATTTATTCCTTTCTCTGCTCTTTCTCACAACGGCTCCTGGCTAGCTTATTGTCAAATCCTTTTCACTTAATGGACTTCCTGAATTTTTTCTGTTATCTGAGTAATTTTTCCTTCTGCTTGGCATTGTCTCACCACTGAAATGACGCTGAAGTTCTATCAGTGCATTTCTTTGGCCTGGAACGTGACAGAGCTCGCACCCAGCTAAGTACCCCAGTCCTCTGAGAAGACTTGTTTTGGGTTTTCTCTCTCTCTTTATTTTTGAAAATCAGTTTTATCTACCAATTCTCCAACTTCTTCTTGGGCTCAGATAGTTTCCCTTATGTCTTCACTGCTAGACTGAAGCCACCAAAACATGCACACTTCAGAACTGATCTGGGCTTGTGGCCAGCTTAGCTGAAGAGACTTGAGCTGACATGGGAGTCAGTTTGTTTATTTAGGCTGTGACTTTTATAGTGCCTATCAGGCAAGTGCCTACCTGAATGTTTAATGTTTAAAAATAAAATAAAATTTCAAATGGGCCCTGGCTGTGCAAGAAGCATCTCAGTTTCTATAAGCCCTTTTCTTGGTAACACATTTCATTTTCCAAATTATTGTGTCTGTGCCTCTCTCTCCCTTTGTCCCCTTCATTACATCCACCTTATACCCCCATTCCACTTCAGATATTTTGAATGGTAGCTCCCATTTACAATGTGAGGCTTTTCCTCACAATGTGACTTCTTTTCAGAAATCTGGTCTCTAACAGTCTTTATGTGTGATCTCAGTAAACAAAGAATGTGTGTGTGTGTGTGTGTGTGTGCGTGCGTGTGTGTGTGCGTGTGTGTAGGAAGCTTGCCATATTTCCTCCCTGCCCCACAGAAAATGTGTTTTCTGGAAGCCCTTTTGACACTGAAGTGAATACCCACTGGCCCTCCCTTGCTGAATTCTCGGGAGAGGAGAGAGAGAGGCGTTTATGCTTGTTGTCATATCTTTTGTTTCTGCTGATTATACACAAAGTAAGTTGTAAATAGCTCTCTCACACACCATGATTCCTTTGAGGTATGAACAGGAGAGTAGATATGCACTCAGCTTCTGTCTACCCTGGGGATCCTAGACGGTCCCTTTCAAGGCCTCTTACTTCCTGTTACAACACCAGGGAGTGAAATTTAGATGAGTACTAGACAATTACCCTCCCATAATGAAACCTGTGGCAGAATGTTTAGACACATTAGATGATCAGGTTAGTATTTTTCTTTCTTTTTAATTTAAATGTTTTTGTTACTTTAAAAGCAAAATATGCAGTGGTTCAAAAAAGAATTTTAAAAATTCCCTTAGTCTCCTTTTCAGGGATAAAAAAACCCCTGTGAACATTTTGCAAAAATCATTGTAGAACTTAGACACTGAAGGCTAGCATGAAGGAAAGTGGAATGAAGGAATTCCCCAAATCACTTTAAATTTTATATTCCAATGAAAACAGTGGTTGGGTATATACCATATCTTATTATCTTAATTTAAAATGGAGTAATAATAAGGATTTAGACAATTTATTTCTGCTGTTTCTGTCAATCATTTTTTTTTGACTGCTTTATACCTAGCTGGTTAACAATGGAGGCTTCTAAATCAAAAGACCTAATTGTCTAGGTGTGTTGAATTATAATTAATTAGGCTATCAACTTTTATATCTTTCGTATTTTTCTTGGCACATTTTGATGAATTAGGAACCAGATAATCTCACTTGCCTTTTCCTTAAAAATTTTGCTGTCTGATAATCAATGACACTAATTGTCAGTGGGGGTGGGGGAGTATTGTTGGAAGGTGAACTTCTCAGTGGAACTGCAGTTTAGTTTGAATCTCAATTTCCTTGTCTTTAAAATATGGGAGTCCACTTTTTGGACACTTAGGGATTTTCTTCTGCTCTGAAATTCTAGGCATCTAACTATAGAGTGCTACCCACTTTCCTACTAATTCCTTTTGTGATCTGGATTATTGAAACATTCTAGTGGCCTGGTACAGTTTCCTCCCAACTTATTGACAAACTTTTTGTTTTCTCTCAGGAACTGTATTTCTGAGTGTCTGAGGTTGTAATAGTACTTGTTTAACTGTCTCGTTTCCTGTTGAGAGTGTTTATAAGATGCATTCTGTGAGAGGGAAAAAGGAACTAAAAACTTATTTGTGACATGGTCAAATAATATTAAGGTAAGTGGGAATTTGCTTTGTGTACATACATGAAATAAAGTATTGTTTACACTTAATTCGCACTATATACATTCTGGCTCATGGATTCTGCTTCAATCAGTGAAGTAGTCACATTTATTGAGGTTTTATAGGAAGCTCTTTTGGGGGTTTCATTTTGATATGGAATATTCTAAGATGAGTTTTTTCCAGTCCTTCTCTTGCACCCTAGGGATAATTACTGTTGCATGACTCATTAGTGCTCCTCTGTGCGTCAACTGAGGGGTGGGATCCGCATTATTCTGTGTGTGACACAACACAGATGCACAGTGTCCCTCTTCTCCATGCCCCATTTCTTTCTCATTCCTCAAGTCAGAGGATCAATTCCCCTTTACATTGCTTATGTTGTCCTGGACCAAAGAGCAAGTAGTCAGTCTTGGTTTCTGGTAACACCTTCTTTGTTTCCTTTGTCTTATTTGTAATTTCTTTCATATGAAACTTTAACAAATGCCCCCTAGAGTGAATGCCACTAAATGCAATTATTACATGTTTCCCGTTAACTTTGAAGTACATTCTCAGTCTGTCTTCCTCATTTTTTAAGTTTGGGCTGTGCAGCTTTCTAGCATGTGACTCTGAGCTAGTTATTTACCTGATCTAAGCTTTGGTATTTTCATTTGTCAAATGCAGATGCTCATATCTCATAAGATTGTTAAAAGGAAAAAAACACACACCAGGTTATTTCTGTGTGTAAGGTGCCCATATGGTGACTGGCTCATTTCAAGCGCTCAGTAAATGTGACCTCCCTTTCCTTTCCCTCTTGGGCTTCACTGGTGAAATTCCTGGGTAAAGAGTGGTTAATTTCAAAGACAGATGATATTCTGTCCCTTTGGCCTTATGGACATAGGCAGGAAGAAAGAACGAGACTTGAAAAGGAGAGTTGAATCTAAAATATTTGAAGAGTTGACTGAATGCTCTTAAAAAAATTAGTGATATTCACTAATGAACTTGCAAAATGAAGCTTATTGAAATTGTTTAAATTAGGAGAAGTGAACTGATTTGTGGGTCAAAAAAAAAAAGGGGGGGGGAAATACTTTCTAAGGCAGCACGCTTGGCTGAAAAGTGATCTCTAAACAAAGAAAATTGATTGGCACAGATGATCATAATTGGAGTTTAAAAAAGAAAGAAAACAAAACACCAGAGGAGGACTTTGTTCGATAGGGAAAGAACATAGGTGAGGTAAAGCAGATTGAGGGATTGAGATTCTGATACATATGTATAGATATGTGATTAATGAAGATAGTGTATGTTTGGTATTATTGAATATTAGAGACATTTTTAAAAAGGAGAAAACAGGTTTAGATCACACATAAATCCTTTATTCCTTATCTTAAAAAGTCTACAATTAAGTAAGCAAGTTATAGTAGGCAGTATTCAGGATGAGGCTGACTCCTTATAATAAATAACTTACTTTTGAAAGGAAATTTTAGTGGCTTTCAATGTAGAATTCTAGAAACCAAGAGTCACTAAATTATAGCTGTTTCATTATTTTTATTATTAGAACAGACATAAAACTCCAATGCAATTTAAATATAGTAAGTAAATAAATAATAAATATTGATAAATAAACTCTGCCTTTGCTAACCTATACCAGGAACAGGAAAAATAAATTTGAATAGATATTTTAGGAGTTCAAAGAAACTTTAGGCATTATAGAATGCAATTTTCTTAATTCCCACATAAGAAAATGAAAAGACAGGAAAAATAATATCACCAAGCTTCTGTTCCCCCTTCCCTTATTTCCTTCCTCCATGCATTTTTACCTTTCTTCTCTCCTTCTTCTGCATGCTGTAAGTACAAGAAGGAATAAAATTTATGTGGATCTTTTGTTCTTGAAATTTACCTTCTTGGCAGTGAGTAAAGTAGGATGTGTGATATTTACAATATGCTTGACCTACTAAGTGTCAAAAACCTGTGAAGCCATGATGGCCTGTTTCAGATCTGCAGTTAGGATATCCCTGCTTCTGCCTGGGTCAAGTGTGTTTGTGTGCAGTTCTCAGCCTCCACACCCAGCACCTATCTAACTCAGCCGTATTCCCCCAGGTTCCAGTGGCATGTGCTGGCAGAGTGCTGGGTGCAGACTTCTGCCCAAACCTGGAGGAGCCAGACCAGAGGCTGGAAGTCCAGGTTGGAGTCTTATTGTTTTATCAGTTGGGGGTGGTGTGACAAACAGTGGCCCCCGAAGGCCATACAGATGTATCAGTGACATTAGGAGATGGACAACCATTGAGAAAAGTGTAAACGAGAGGCCAGTATAGTAGCATATGTGCAACAGAAAGCTCTTTTCAGGATAAGTTGTCTGTAGCTGGAGATCATTCATTTATTTATCTAAGAAGTAGTGTATACTGCAGTAGATAAGACCATGGTTTCTGAAGGCTGGCTGCCCAGGTGACACAAGCTGCTCTGAGACCTTTGGCAAGTCACTCAACCTAACTGAGCTTTAGATTTCTTGTGTAAAATTGAGATCTACCACACAAAGTGATTATGAGGATTAAATGTTCTAATGTATACCTAGCAGTTAACATAGGGCTTGGCACGCAGCAGGTACTCTGGGAATATTAGCTCTCATCTTTTTAAGTCATCATAATCATGTGCTAAGCACTGTGCTAGGCACTGGGTTACACTGTGAGCAAGTCATGCTTCCTGCATTATGGTATCCTAGCTCAGGAGAATGGAAACCATTCAGCTGAGTACTGAATAAGAAAAATAGGACCTAATGATAAGTATCTTGCTTCTTCATGGATTGGGAGACATGTCCTCTGGCAAAGTACATTTTTATTAGCAAAGTACATTTTTGTGAAGGTATTGACTTGGAATTCAGTTCATTTTGGGTGGTCTTGAAGCAGTCAGAGCAGTTTGGTATATTAAAAATTAAAAATCTAAATATGATATCTTGGCCAAAGTAATGTCTCCACTTCCATGTACCTTTAAATATTTAAGGAATGTGTGTGTACCAGTGATGCAAAGATGCGGGCTGAAGTTACAACATGAATGTCATTCCCTAGCATGAGCAAACCCATAATATTTTTTTAGGACCTCCATTTGGCATCATTTTCTAAAAATTTTAGACTTACGGGATGAGCATAGTGAGTTTAGTTTTAAAGCATTTTACTGATTTAGATGCCCCACATGAGAAAAGAGAATAGTTAAAAAAATTACTTCTTCGCAGTGGGAGTGAAGGTAGAATTGGTGGTAGGAGGTTTCAGTTTTTATGGTACTGAAGGGTACACCATCTCTTGCACACCTGCTCTTGGACTAGGAAGACCACCTGAGCTCTTCAGTGTCACAAGCTGGTACTGTCTGGGTGGTGTATGGCTATGATACAACAGAAAAGCAGGTGTGACACATCTGAGACATGATCGTGTATTTCCCAGTTTTAGAAAGTTAACAGCTTGTGTGTGACACATAAATGCAGAGTGATGGAAGACTTTTTGTGGAGAATAGTCTGATCCTTGACCTCTTTGGGTAGGACAATTGATGATCTTCAAACATATCACCTGGAATGGTCTGTCATGGGTGGCTATTGGATCATTTGTTTTTGAACCTTGAGTTATGGTGCAAAGAGCAATGGATTTTGCAGATGTGGGTGTGTGAGGTAAAACTGAAAGAGACCAATGGAGCCCATTATTATGACATACCAAGGGAGAAAATGTATATTTACAAGTTTAAGTGAAACTCCGGTTGTAGGTAATGAAACAGATTGTAGAGTTGACAGTTCGGCGTGGGCCTTGCAACGAAGACCAAGCTCCTGGGCAAAGAAATGAAAGTGCCCATTTTATTGGATTCCTCCTCTTGCAACACTATTTTGGCAGACTGAGTTGGAAAGGTAGAATCTGTCAAAAGATAGTCAACTATGGTGAATTAACTGGGACCCACTTCAGCCATTTTCTTTTATTTTCCTCTTCCTTTCTAAATATGGCTTCCATACATTTTAATAATACCTAGTATATATCCATATTCTGTCAGTCATCATAAACATGATACTTAATATGTTCTTCACCAGCTAACAATTCTAGGAAGTAGTTTTTAGCTTGGAGTCCTTTTATCCTTGCCATGGAATGTATTCTGGTGTTTGGTTCCCCTCTCCTCCCCGCCTTTACAGAAATGAGCCATTTCTTATTTTTTAGTCCAACTTTGCACTCCAGGGGACTCACTCTAGGACTTGCCAGGGTCATCACAGTCATTTATTTTCCCGCTTGGACCTCAGGCTTTTCTCCAGGGCCAGACACTATAACTGCCAGAGGATTTGCTGTTTGGCCTCTTGATTCTTTGAATAACCTCTTGGGCACCTTGATTTAGGAGCAACCATTTAGATCTTTTCCTAGGAAGGATTTTTATTTAGACACACAGCACCCATATCTGGTCTGCTTTTACATTTAACTGACACGAGTTTTCATGACTGGTGGAGTCCCTTCCTGTTCTTACCTGCTTCCTTTTAACCTTTTCCTTTTATCCCTAAAATCTGAGATGACTTAGCAACGTTATTGTTTAATAATCCCAAGATTCCTGATACTCTTTCATGAATATACCTTTGGTTTTGAATGATCATAATCCTTGAAGCCTGTACCTGACTTAACTTTTGCAAGGACATCTGCTCTCTTTTTGTGTGGGTGTTAATATGCTTGATTTAGAAAAGTAGCTAGAAATCAAGACTTTGATTCACTGTCTAACTTCGTTGATTTTCTTCAATGGCTTTTGAAACTGCTTTTCAGCTGGGGAGGTTAACTGATGTCAAGCAGCTGAAAATTGTGTTTGTATATAATTGTTTTATAGGAGATGGTTATACTAGTTTAGACTCCTTTAATTGCTATTAAATATTTTATTTTTAATCAGAGAAAAGTTACTTTTTTAGTCTAACTGTGCCTCATCATGTATTACGTTGTTACAGTAGGCCCAGCACATTTCCTTTCTTGTTCGGGAAACTCTCTCTCGAGATGTGGGGTTTGACTTGATATTTCTCACCACTAAAGTGCTTAGAAAATTAGAGTAAATAATGAACCAATATTTCAGTACCAGATTAGACACAATTTACTGTGATGTTTCATAAACCACAGACTCCTTTCTTCTGTGAATGCGTGAAGGATCACTTTTTTTTTCCAGACATACCGGGGTGCAAGTGTAAATTTCCATAAAATTTAAATGAGGTGCTTCCTGTAATTAATGAACAATTGTGGCTGCTCTCTAGTCTGCATTGTAATTAACCGTGATCAGGCTTGTTTAGTGATGACACTGTTCCTGTAATAATTTGACAAGCTACTGTGAATTTGCCAGGCTATTAAACAACCTGCAGCATTCACTTCTGGAATCACAGGGACGAGCTTGGCGGCTGCTGCTAGTTAAATGCAGCATAAGGGTGGACCAAAAGCTGCCCATTGAAGTCTATAGATCACCGTGAACATATTTAAATTTCTATGATTTTGGAGAAGTTAATTAATTTTGTGCAGGGTGTCTTGAAAACTTTTTATTACATGATAAACCTACTGAGGCAAACCTGGTCATTTTTTTGAATTCATAATGAAGCGAACAATTTTTTTATATTGTTATCACCAGTGTGTACTAAACAGAGAAACTGAGATTTCCTCTTCCTAGCCTATTAAATAGGTATATTATTTTTTTTAAAAACCAACAAACAGTTTCCTCCCCAAATTCATTCACAACATCCCTCAATTTTAAGTCCACTGTTTTTTGTTTCTTTTAAGTGTGTGTTAGAAATAACAGATGACTTTGTGCTAAACACAGTCATGTCACAGGTAGAGTGAGTGATGTAAATGGACTGGTAGACTTATGTCCATGGTCACTAGTGCACCCGCCTTCCCCAGCCCCCCTTCAGGTTAAGAACTGTTCAAAACGTTACTGTCTAGTTACTGTGGTGTCTTTCATTCAGATTCTGTTTATTGACTAAACCACAAGGATTCCTGCCCAAAGTACCAGGCGGTCTATGCTTGACTGATTTTGATTTTCTAACATCAGCCCTGGGGTTTATTTGAAAAATGTACATACACTGCAGCTTTAACAAGTCAAGTGACTGCATGTTTTTGACCATGGAGTAGAGTATATCTGAAGATCATTAAATTTAGTGGGGGTAAGGAGGGGTGGAGAATAAGTGTAGTAGTCATTGTACCATTGCCGAGTGTGTGTGTGTGTGTGTGTGTGTGACACATGGTTTTTGTCTTTTCATCTTCTCCAAGAGCCAGAAAGTTTCCTGCCGTTCTCTTTCCAGCTATTGACAAATGATTGCCAGATGTGAGATCTTTGCAGTGCTCTTTCCCTCAGCAAACCTGCAGCGATGGGATATTTGATTCTCCCTTGCCCATTTCATCTCCTTTCCACATCTGCCAGGGACACACAAGCAATACATCCCTCCATGAGAGTTTAAAGTTTATTCAGCTCCTTTTCCCCCTTCGATAAAGTGTTTGGAGACAACAGAATGAGGTCCATATGACTCTTTCTCAACTTCACTACATGAAATTCGTTGTTTATTTTACTTATCTACCTCTCAGTAATTGAATATTTCATTTTAGTTTTGGTCCATGGAAAATTTGATGCAACTCAGGGAGTGCTAAGAGTTTCCTATTGTTGTCTGGTTGCTGCAAGTATGCTATCAATACAGCTTCTCTCTGATCCCTCAATTCTGATAGAAACTAGACTGTTGGTTTCATAGGACATCCTAGGAAAGTAATTTTAATAAACAACTGTCAAAATATTAAGTGTAGCATGTCTGGTAAAATTCAGTAGTCATTTAAGATTAAAAAAGCCATCTGTGAGAGGGAAAATTTAGCTTGTTTGGCTTGATTAGCTTACCTTGTGTTTGTGTCCATTGTCAGAGTTGAAATGGATGAGGTCCTAGTTTTAATCCCAAATAGCTTATAAAAGAGAAAGTACACTGAGTTTTGGAGGCATCTGAAATTAGCCTGTGTAGGCCACACACATAATCACTACCATGCACAGAAGCCTTTTGCATCTGCTTGGAATCTGTATTGATACAGATTTTTTCTCATCTTAGTTTAAAAATATTTTCCAAAATGCTCTTATAGCTTATGTTCATACTATAGGGTGGGCTGACACAGGTGGCCCTTCAGTTTTCTTATTACACTTTTTGGCAAACGAAAAGGCCCCTTATTCCCTGA